GAGCGAACATTCCGACCTGTTCATCACATGACCGGCTGTACATTTTATGAACGAGCAACACAGGGTTAAATGAACTAAATGCAGCGATGAAGTCAGTGTTTACTGACAGTTACTTAAATCTCGTCTTTTCACTTTATTAAGATCAGATTCTGCAGGTAAAATTACAATAATAAGGTGACTTGACTTGGACTTGACTTGACCTATTACAGGACTTGACTTGACTTGACATAACCTGTGACTTGACTTGATTTGCCCAAGAAAAAATGACTTGGGACTTACTTGAGACTTGCACGTGTGACTTGGTCCCATCTCTGTTGCAAAGCCACTATAAGTAACCTATGTAAACGCCGATAGTCTGATTTTACTGTGGACACTACCCTGTGCAACCCACATTATTTTCATCATGATATATTAAGGAATAGATGCTATCTGTTGCCTCTTTAATGCTGACATTTGGGTCCTTAGACATTTGGGTCCCTAGATCAGGCACACTGGAGACTTTTACTGGCCGAGTGGCTACTTTCAGTTTAGTGCTCACAACTGATTTACAAACGTCCCTTTCACAATCTAAGTTGAGGTCATTTTGCGGCCCAATGGCATCAGACAGACCTGAACGTGTTGTAGATACACAGTTTGGCCACCATGTGAAAGTGACTTCAAAGTTTGATGCACTTCCTTTCGTGACTACACTGTATGTTTTTGGGTTTGCCTAGCACTCTCTCTGATATTGATGAAGGTGTTGGTATAACGGCGTCTGATTGGAGAATTGGCACCGACTGTTTATCTCGATGCCCCTCGACTCCTTGTTGTGCATCTCAAAACAGCAGCTGATGGAAACATTCATTTGTATTTTCTTCTACAGATTTTCAGAAAATCTGTTGAAATTTCTGCCTCATTTGGACGGACACCTGACTACCAGTTGGTTTCTATAGCAACCCAATGTTCAAACGAAACCAGCTGCCGGTGGCAGAATGGACACAGACAAAGAAGGGATGTCAGAAAGTATTGAGAGACAGCTGAAGATACTGCTGCTTGGACTTTTTAATGATTACATTTCTTTACAATAAAAATGAAATGAAATAGCCTAATACGAGCCTCATGGTTTAAAAGGGCAGATGTTACAGAGACTTGATTCTGTAGAGATTTGTTGATGGGAACAAACCAGTTCATCCCAGTTTGTGTATGTACAATCCTTTTCTATATTATTCGTCTCTTCAATGCAGATTCTTGTCATTGAGTCTGACCATAGTCGAATCGTGCTCATCTGCTCTCACGTGAGTGATGGGAAGTGTCTAAAAATAGACTGACTTAAAATGAACTCTTGTTAGTGTGTAGTTTTTTTGGCTTTTCATACTGTGTTCATATTTTTTTATTCAATACAGGAATTAACTTTATCATCAGCACGATAATTTCTCCTTAGTCGTCCATCTCACTTTAAATAAAGCTACTCTCACAGTGACAAATTAGCACATTTTTTATCTCCTGCAGAAAATCAAAAGACCCAAACATCATGTCTTTGGAACAAAATCCTCCAAATACTTGATGATGTCTCCGACTGACTCGTGTGTAAAGCAGCATCTGGAATCACAAGTGTGATGTTTTTATGCTAATCTGAACTCTGAGGAGTACATTAAAACAGTTTTTTTCCCACTGGAGCAGTGTTTCTAAAAATAAGCTGTTTTCATTCCCTTGGTGAATCTGAGTTAGTCACCCGTGCTTTTATCTTTTCTCTCTGGGAACTATGAGTACTCTGGCATCAGTCAAAAGTCCTCTCAGCTCGATTTTACACAAAATGCACGAGTGAGGTTCCTCACTGCAGCCAAGATGAGTCGTATCTTTACAGCCTTATAACAGAGACCTGTGGGTGTCAGAGGTGACTCTGTGGCTCTATCAGGAGGTAAACTGAGGCGATCAGTCACAACAACAGTGGGATTTATACGAGGAGAACAGATGCAGCTTATGACATTAATGATGGTCGTGTTTCCTGTAAGTCTTCAGGACACAGTGTCCAGGAGCTGACACTGCAAACTGGAGGGCAGCTCTAAATAATTTTATTAGTTACACCCGCGTCGTTCTCGCCAATGCATCAAAATATCTGTCATGAAAAATTCCTGCTGCTGTGGCATTTATGGGATTATATCTGTGTCGCATTTGTGTAAAATCGGACATTTTGTGAATCATAGTTTGTTTCCTGGGAGCACAAATATTATTTTACAGAGAATCATAATTATTGTCCAAAAAAGAATTTTCTTAAAATTACCAAGATAAAGAAATGCACTCTATCATTAGTTTTTGAAGGTTATGACAACGAAACTTTTTTGTTTTTAGGGTTCAAGGACTGAATCCCAGTCTTAAAGGGACAGTTCACCCCAAAATTAAACACATATTTTTTTTTTTGGAACACACAGTATTGCATTTTTTTTTTTACCAATATCTGATACGCTGATATGCAACAACTCATTCAACTGATAACCGATATCAATACATCCACTTTTTTCCTCACCTACTTTTAGTGATCATCAAGTCTCCTCTTATTTTAAGACAATTGTTTTAGCTCTCATCTTTATTTGATAGGACAGTGAGGAAGCATGAAGGAGGGGAAAGAGAGGATGACATACCTGCGACCACTGCAGCAAGGGCATAGCCTTTGTACAGGGGACTCCCACTCTCCCCACTGAGCTACAGGGTGACCTGTCTGTAGTGGAATCAACATCATATTATACATACAGACTCTGATGGTGACGGCCCACCAGCAGATGGAGACATGAAATACTGTTCAGTGTCTGTGATATTCAGTCATTGTGCTAAATAAGAAAAAAAGCATGTTGGCTGATTCTGATGACATGCTGATATTATTGTGCATCCTTAATTTTCCTGTTACCTGTACTACTGTTTATCAGTCTAGATAGTTTTGGTGTAAGTTGCACTGCTGGAGATATCAGCCATAAACATGATGAAACTAGATGGCACTCGGCTTGTGGTGCTTAAAGCGCCATAAAAATCCATTTGAAAAACTCAAATGTCTCTTTGCAGAAATCATGATCCGGTAACTGAAGATAATCACAGACGTTGTTGTGAGCAGTTTCATGTAGGAACTACTCTCTCTCTACCAAACTACACCTTACTGTGTCACCGCCAGAGGGAAGCGTGCGTCATGACTGATGACCTTTCTGGTCAATTAACGTTTGGTTGACTATGAGGGGACAGCCGACAGATCTGTCTGTGCACTATTGAATTCTATTGAGGTTCGGCTAAATGTAGAGGAAAGGCCCCAGGCTGAAGACACAGACGCACATTTTAGTTGAGAAAATATTAAAACCTTTTTTTAAAATTAGTGTATAGGTTACAAATTTTTACAGCTGAATCACTTTAGAACCTCAGATTCAGGAGGAGCAATGTGGATTCCGTCCTGGCCTTGGAACAACGAACCAGCTCTTCACCCTTGCGAGGCTGCTGGATGGGTCGTGGGAGTTTGCCCATCCAGTCTACATGGGTTTTGCGGACTTGGAGAAGGCTTACGACCGCATCCCTCGGGGGGTCTTGTGGGGGGTACTGCGGGAATACGGGGTGCCAGGCTCGCTGCTACTACCAAAGTGAGAGCTGTGTCTGCATACTTGGTATAAAGTGGAACACGTTCTCTGCCAGCGTTGTCCCTTGTCACCAATCCTGTTTGTGATTTTCATGGACAGGATCTCACGGTGCAGCCGGGGGGAGGAAGGGGTCCGATTTGGGGACCTCAGAATTGCATCTCTGCTTTTCGCAGATGATGTGGTTCTGTTGGCTTCATCACACCGTGACCTCCAGCATGACCTGGGGCGTTTTGCAGTGTGAAGCAGTTGGGATGAGAGTCAGCACCTCCAAATCTGAGGCCATGGTTCTCTGTCGGAAACCAGTGGATTGCCCTCTCCAGGTTGGGGGAGAGTTACTGCCTCAAGCGAGGGAGTTCAAGTATCTTGGGGTCTGACTAGGATGCCTCTTGGGCGCCTGCTGCCAGAGGTGTCCCGGGCACGTCCCACTGGTGGGAACACGCTGGAGGGATTAAATATCTCATCTGGCCTGGGAACGCCTCGGGGTCCTCCAGGAGGAGCTGGAAAGAGTTGCTGGGGAGAGGGACGTCTGGGGTGCTTTGCTCGCCCCACTGCCCCAATGACCTGGCCCCGGATAAGTGGATTAAAAATAGATGGATGGATGGAATCACTTAAGACGTACAACAATGATAAACACAATCATTTTATATAATTTTTTTGTAACAAACACCACAGGGAGCCACTGGAGACGGACGAAAGAGCCACACATGGCTCTGGAGGCACAGGTTGCCGACCCCTGCGTTAAACGGCCCCAAAAAAACTCACGCTGCCCCTGAAAACGGCTCCTTAAACCTGTTAATAACCGTAAGGTAACCACCAGTGTGGTGGTTGTAGTGGAGTGCGGCATCTAGTGGCGAATGTTATCAGTTTTCTTAAATAAAGAAGTCCAATGTTTAAACTGAAGTGTTTGTTGTAAGTGTTTGTTGGAGGGCGCCCTCTGTGCTGTCATCTGTCATTTCCACTGACTCTGATCTGTGTTCAGTTTTCAGGACTCCGTCAGCTGCAGAAATTAAATGCGATTTGACATAAAATAGACAGAATTATGACATAAATATTCTGCACTAGATTGAAAAGTATAAATCCAGCCAGTGACAGTCTGAGCAGCCGTTCCCTCAGCTCGCTGTTTTCCTGCTTCCCAGCGTCCACATGCTCCATCACTCCTCGCCTCCCTTTCTGCTGTAAATCTCTTTTTGTTCATAATTTGCTGTCATCCTTACTGCCCCCCCTCCCTCCTGCCTCTTCCTCCTCCACCATCCTCCTCCTCCTCTCTATCTTTAAAGTGACTTTGAGAGGTTACAGATTCTTGTCATGACCACTGAAAGCTACTAAAGCTTTTATATTTTAGATACAGTCAGAGGATGTTGATGATCATGTTCATTTACGTTCTTCTTCTTGTGTCTTTTCTCTCTGCAGGTCAGAGAAGGTGAAGACCTGCTGAGAAACCTCGTGACATCTCCCAGTAGTTGGTTACTGTGACAGACAATCAGCGTATATCCTCTTTGTTTTTGTACTTTGACATTCAAAGGGACAAAATCAACATCTGGAGAACCTCAGCAATACTCAACACACGACAGCAATGATCCTCTGCTGCAGCTAAACACTTGAAGAACCTGCTCAATCGAACATCGCCGTCGTCTCTGCCTCCTCCACTAACGACTACACGTGGCCTCAGATATCTCATCTCTCCACCTCCTGTGTGCTCACACGGTGCTTGTTGTAAAGAAGTGGAGATGACATCCCAAAACCTCTTCGCCTCAGCCTTGTTACACAACTTGACCCAAGGATAACCATCAATCCCCCTGAGCGGCACTCGTGGATCAACGCACTCCCAGACACAGAGCCCGGCCCCCTGGCTTCAGGCAGTATGGGAGACGGGAGCTGGGTGTGCCTGAGCCCAGCTGAGTTCACACAGCTGCAGCAGTACAGCGAGTGTGAGTGTCTTAATCTGGAGCTTCCACATTTGTGTTGTGAGTGTGTGTGTGTGTGTGTGTGAGAGAGATTGTGGTGTGGATAATGAGCTTCTGTGTGAATGAATGTGTGTGTGTGTGTGTGTGTGTGTGTGTGTGTGCAGCTGATGCTTCTCCAAAGCTTTGTTTGCAAAACCAAATCATGTGGTGTCCATGCTATAGCCTGCCAGATGCTTCAGGCAACTTAAATGCAAAAGTTTAACAATAGAGCTGAAGCAGGTTTACAGTCCCAGAAGCAACTAACGTCACTAATAAGATACATGAAGCTCTGCTGAATATGCACATGAATACTACAGTAATTTACATTTTTATTTTTTTCCATTTACCTCCAAGTTAGTTCAATAAATTGCAAAATGTAATCATTTTACTTTCCTTTGTCCAAACAGCTCGACCACGGGCACACACACACACACACACACACACACACACACACTTCATACAGTAACTCAGTGTGTCCCATACATTGATTTATTTCATCTTATGTTATTGAAGAGTTGCACGCAGCTCATTCGCTCAGCCCCTCCTGGCCCCGCCCTCTCTCTCTGTTTATCAGACCACATATGAGACAAGGATTAGCGAGATAGCCACCACACGGTCCCTCCGCCTTATTGTGTCTCTTAATAGTTGTTTTGGTCTCTTTGTGGTCATTTTGAGTCTCTTCCTGGTCAGTATGTGTTCGTTTAAGGTTTGACATTTTACAGGTAATAGCCAGGGGGGCCCCCTGACACTTTGGGCCCTCGGGCCTGTGCCTGATAGGCCCTTTCAATAATCCATCCAAGGGTAGCAGCCCTGGAAACGTCGGCTTTAGTGGTTAGAATTCGGCCAACGCAAACCCCTCAGCACAGAGTGTTGCAGCAGGCTGGTGTCCAGCGGTCTAAACTGTAGCTCCTTTTACACTGCCAGATTTTCAGCGAATGTTGGGCCATTTTGCCAGCAAGCTGCGAGCGTTTAGACACACAGAGCCGGATTGGCTAGTTGATCCGAGGTGCCCAATTTTCCGCCTCGTAGGGGAGACATATTGGTGGAACCCCTTCAGTTTAAACAGACCGAGGCGGCCTTCCACAACGGGAGGGGCTGTTGATGACTTGTGGGAGGTGCTGTTGATGACGCCGCACGTGCGAGCCACTGGCGGTGGATAAACAGGAAACAGCTGATAGCAGGAATTAGTGAGCAGCTAGTAGCAAGAGGGAAACACAAACCTGACAGACACTGTAAAGATGAGCAACTGGGGAGACAAGGAATTGCGCGCCCTCCTTGTCCTCGCAAACGAAGAGGCCATTAACCGTCAGATGATGGGGACGGTGAAGAACGGGTCGACTTACGAGAGAATCTCCTAAGGACTGACCAGCCACGGCTTCCCTCCCACGTCACTGTTTAAACAATTCCTATCTAAAAAGGGCTTGTGTAACAGCAGCAACAGAAAGTTTGCTGATCCAGTGGGGAGTCGGAGCTGTCTGGTCCTTCAGAGCAGACACTGTGATTTGAGGCTCTTGATCTAGTCGTTGGCTTGGGTTAGCACAAGGCGAAACTATTTTCTTTCCCTCTCTGAAACACTTTAATGATAATGACACAGTTTTTTATTTTCGTTTAATGTCAGACTCTCTTTTAGACAAGTCCGTCATCTTTCTATAGGGGATTGCTCTGCAGTGTAGGCAGTTGTTAGCAATGCTGGAATAGCAACTTTCTCTGCAGGATTCTCCTCCACTGAATCAGGTTTTCACGGAAGGGATGTGCACGTGCATCTGCATTTGTAGACCAGCCAATAGGAACACCATCACCATTATTATGTCATCATTTTCCATTTTCTTTGTTGTTTACATGTTAATGAGTTTGTCTGAAGATTTTTGAATATAAGCAGAAATCATTTGACTCACTTGATCATTTACTGTGTGTATTATTAGTGACATTTGGCTCATCCACGTACCTTTTATAGGTTCACTTATAAAGCATTGTAAAATCAGAGGAGAACAGACAGTGGAGCAGGATGTCATGTTTGGTGTCACATTGTTCTTCATGTTATTTTAGAATGGCACTCATTAGCCTGCTGGATGAGCCTCGTGGCTACCTCTCCCCTCGCTGATAACCACATTTGTTAGTCAAAAGAGCATCTGTCCTCTCGTTCCTGGTGATGAATAGAGTAACCTATTACTCTCTCACGCAAACCATTTGGTTGAGGAATTAAACAATCATGCATAAAGCATTGTTTTATAGACCTGTGTGAGGTAAAACCACACGAGGTCAGACTGTCAGTGACTGAAGAGAAGACACCACTATGATCAGTGATTACCAACATGGTCAATCTTTACTTTTTCTATTTAAATCTTGTGTTTGTGCACACATGTATGGATCTGTAGGTCAGTCTGTCTGTGGCCTAATTTTATGAAGGAAAATGATGTTGTTACCTGGTGCATGAGTGCATGTTGCTTGTGAAGGGAGGCCAATGTGTTCTCATCCCAACTTGTCAAATACCGCCGCTTTGTCAGCTGACTTTCACGTCTACATATGATGCGCTATATATCCTCCTGCATCTGCTGTTGACGTTCCAGGACAGTGTGTCAGGTTACACTTGTTACATGCACTGTGTCTTTTCAAAATCTACTTCTGTTTCACACAGAAAATACACAGTTTGTGCTCGTTAGACTCATACATTGCTTTTCAAAACAGACATACAACATCGATAAAATGCCTGGTATTTACATTTATTTCAACCAGGTCTCACTCCGAAGTCGTTGAAATTTGGTGCTTGGTCAGTGAATTCCAGCGTCCGACACGGACGAAAAAAAGCCGTCCTTTCACATCGGCATGATACGCAGCCATTATTGTTAAATGGCAGCGAAAGTCTGAGTAGGGCTGGTGGGAGGGGGGGTGGATGGGTCCGACAACCACGTACTTTCACCCGGTAAGACGGTTTTCGCTTCCCGTAAGATTGTAAAGCCAAACCCTGTTCTTTTTTCCTAAACCCAACCACGTGTGTTTGTTATTGCAGGAAAAAACGTCAATTGGCGGTGTTGCACTGACGTAGTGCTTTTATTTTGAAAGAGACTGTATGCAAACTGTACATTTCCTGTGAAAACAGAAGTGTATTTTGAAAACAGACAATGCATGTAACAGGCTGAAGTTGACACTGCGTCCCAGAACGTCAACAACCAACACACCCAGGGTACCCTGGACGTCATATGTGGACGTGGAAAGTCCATGACCAAACGTGGACATGTGACGAGGTCACAGTGAGGATGAGTTGGTCATTTCCTTGTGCAACAAAAGCCCTTGGTTAGGTCTAGAAAAAAACATCCTGGTTTGGCTCCACTTTCACACAGGAAGCAAACAGCTGGCTCAGGGGTGAAAGTCCATGGTTTGTTGGACCCATCCACCTCCCCATCCGCCCTAAAGGGACTTTCCAGCTCTTTATATTACGTTGTTACTGATGGTGTTATGAACTGCTGCTGGCCAGTTTCTTTCATACGCTGCAAAAGGTGCCTTTGGGCATCAGTTTCTCCTGCAGACGTCCACTGACATAGGAAAGTATTTAACAGCTTCAGTTGTTGGCCTCTGTGTCAACAACTGTTGCCTGTTGTATCTATACAAGTCAGATAGATAGATAGATAGATAGATAGATAGATGTATATGTCATCTGTCAAAGTGGCTAGTAAGAGTGACTGCGCTACATGCCACCAATGAATTATCCCCACATTTGGTGAGTAGGTGGGTGATAATGGCAGGTCCTGGCAGTGACGTACTTAATCTATCTCACCTATGTGAGTATGTTTGAATCTCTGATTTTAGGCGTTTGCACAGACACTCTCCTTCCTTCAGGAGAGGAATGTGACATCTCTCTGGTGACAAAGTTTGCAAAGATACAAGTCAGTATAGTGAAGGTCCGACATTATAGGGGACAGAAACAGAAGAAAAAGACATTTTTTGACATGCAAATTCTCCTTGAAATTCTGTAGTGATTTGCATAAAAACTGGAGAAGAGAAAGTGACAAAGGGTGGACAGGAAGTTTAGTGTTTACCTGCAGTTGATGAGGGTCTGTGCAGGAGAAGATCTTTGTTGTAGATCTCTCTGTTGCCTCCAAGATTACATACAAACAAACATGAAGTGCTGCTCTGCACAAAGTCACAGAATTTATGAAAAAGGGTATAAATTGTTTTTTTTTTTTTTTTTTTTTTACAATTTGCAAACAAGTAGGCTGCTATCTTGGGAGCACTTACACGCTCACAGTGATGTGTGGTGGAGAGGACGTTGCACAATTTGATAGCATCCAGTGGGTCTCCTCTTTAAGACCCTGCACAGGAGAAGACACAGAAATAATGTAGTGCTAATCCTCACCTCACTCATGCTGCTGTCACTGTGGTCCAGCAGGGTTTTTGTTTTATGAGCCAGGCTGCAGTAGAGGAGGACTATAATCGAAACATGACAAATGTGCAGATGAGGAAGGCCCCTGCAGGCGAGGAAGGTCTCATTTTTACTGAGGAGTGGAAAGACAGGAGGGCTCGTGTATCACCAACCAATCAATCAAGGACTTAATGAAGGACGCTGGCTGTGTTTTTCTCTGCGGAGATAGAAGTATGTGAGGGAGCAGGACCATCCAGCTAAAAGGTTAGTGTCATTAATAAGCCATATAATCAAATAGAACTAAACGATTAATTCATCAATCTATTGCAACCATTTTAGTAATTGATTGATCATTTGAGCAGCGATTGTATCGTCTCAGATGTCAGGATATGATGCTTTCTCTGTTATATGATAGTTGACCTCATATTTCTGTGACACAAGAAAGGATGCAAACTTTGGGCTCTGGGAAATTGTGACGGTGTCTTTCAGTTTTACAGACAAAACAATTTATCGGTTAATTGAGAAAATAATCAGCAGATTAAATAGTAGTGAAAATGATCATTAGTTGAAGATAAAATCAGTTAGCTGAAGCAACTGGTTGATTTATTGATTAGTCAATCAACTGAAATTAATCAATGGAAAATTGCCTGATCGTTTATCAAGCAGAGACGCAGAACGATCTCTGGTTTCAGCCCCTCAGCTGTTAAACTGAGGCTTCTGTCTCTCTCTGGTTTGATTTATAAAATTGATTATAGATTTTGTCAGACAAAACAGCTGTGACTCTGGTGACATGTGGTGGAAATGTTTCACTATTTTCTGACACTTTATAGACAAATGATCGATCAAAGAAATGATCAAAAGATTTATTGACAGTAAAAATAATGTTGCAGCCTTTTAATCAATCCATGTAAACGTATCTGCATGTGCAGAATCTGGGACAAGATTTTGTTGTCAGAAGTGTTCTGGTCTCTGTTTGTAGTCCGAGACATATTGACAAATCACTTTAAAGTAGGCTTTAGTTGCATGCAGGTAAACAGTCCGTATGTTCATCCCAATAACTCTCGTTGACTCTTCTCTGCTCTGTCCTCAGTCATGACGTCCCAGTTCCTCAGAGCAGTCTCAGAGGAGTCGAGGACAGAGGAGGCTTTCAGAGGAGACAGAAGCGAGGAATTCCTAAATGTGTCGCGTTTGATTAAAATTTTAATTTTCTCAGAAACATTAAATGTAATTAATCATTTCCAGTGTTTAAAAGACACTTCAGTCGGTTCTGGGTTATTAAATAATGAACTCACAATCAGAATATCAGTAAAGACAGATGCAGATAATGAACAGGCCTAAATCATATTCACATTATCTGGCCTGGGAACACCTCGGGGTCCTGCAGGAGGAGCTGGAAAGCATTGCTGTCATTGCTTTACTTGTGAAAAAGATCTTGAGATACTCCTTCACTCCTTCATGTGGGGCAGTAACTCTCTCCCAACCCAGAGAGGCAGTCCACTGTTTTCCGGCAGATAACCATGGCCTCAGATTTGCAGGTGTTGACTCTCATCCCGACCGCTTCACACTCAGCTGCAAACCGCCCCAGTGCATGCTGGATGGTCCGATGAAGCTAGCAGAATCACATCATTTGCAAAGAGTAGAGATGTAGATCTGAGGTCTTTAAAGTAAAACTCTTCCTCCCCCCGGCTGCACCTTGACATCCCGTCCATTAATATCACAAACTTAATCAGTGACCAGGGACAACTGTGGTGGAGACTAACACCAACTGATAACGTGTTTGACTTTGTGCTGAGTATGTGGACACAGCTCTCACTTTGGTTGTACAAGGACAGCATGATTCGCAGCAACGACCCCAGTACACCATATTCATGTTGGGAATAATAGTTTATTTGTTGTTGAGCTGGTGTAATCATTTAATTCATAGAATGTCTGAAAAGAGTGAAAAATACCCTTCACAGGTTTTTAGAGCTCCATCATGGGGCAGCAGCAGCTCAGTTCTTGGGTTGGGAACCAGAGGGTCGCTGGTTTAAGTTCCTATCTGGGCCAAATATTGAGCACGGACTGGCAGCTGGAGAGGTGCCAGTTGTCTAATCATCAGCCCAAGAGATTTCCAATTTACAGTGATATAAATCAGAAAAGCAGCAATTCTCCACAGCTGAAACCAGAGACTTCAGATTTTAATTGATTGTCAAAGAATTTTTCAACTAAACATCAGTAAATTGATTAATTCATAATCGCTGCAGTTCTCCTGTGAAGCATTGATATTATTTTCAGTTGTAACGTTGGTGACTTGAGTGCGTCTGATGATGATTCATGCTCATCTTCATGCTTGCGGATCACTAACCACATTGTACTGACAGCTAATGGCAGCCGAGCAGCCTGAGCAGCGGACGCTCTCTAATCACGTCTCTCATCTTACCTGAGATTGTGCTCTCCTCCATCTCTCTGCTCCTGTTATCGTGGACGTCCACTGCAGGACAGAAATAGGGACGCGTTACAGGCTGCAGAGCACTAAAAATAATGAAGTGTCGCCCGTAGTTGATTATGAGCCCTAACATGATTGGTGAAATCAGGTCTTGAGCGTGTGCATGCATAAGTGTGTGTGATAATGACGGTGGATCTGAGATGTGTCCGTGCACACGTGTACATTTGTCTCCTGTAATTGTCTGACAAATGATCGTGGGAGGAGGTCATTACGGGTAGTGTTCTGGACCCGGGGCTCTGTGACGTGTTTGTGTGCGTGTGTGTGTGTGTGTGTGTGTGTGTGTGTGTGTGTATGGTTATGGGATTAGCATCTAAAAGTGAGAAAGACACCATGTCCCCCTTTTTACTTTTCACTAACAGGGTGACTCACAGGCTCAGCTCCACTGATGCAGCACTTCCTGGTACAGATGAGTATTTATCAGGACATCCATTAATGAGATGCAGCATGTTTATTCAGTTTGGAGAAAGCGTTTATCCGAAGGAACATTTCGACTAAGAGATGTGATTATAAAGACAGCTTCAGGAAATGTTCTCGCTGTGTGTGTGTGTGTGTGTGTGTGTGTGTGTGTGTGGCACTGTGGGGCTCCTTTGCTTAAAAATGCTCCATGAGGTTTTCAGAAGTGAATCAAAGCAAACACGTTGCAGCAAATATAATAAAACAATTCGTCTTCTTTCCTCCTCAGACTCCTCCAAGAAGCTGAAGGATGTGCTGGAGGAGTTTCACGGCGAAGGAGTCCTCTCCAAATACAACCCAGAGCAGGTGTGTCTGCACCACAGTTCCCTCCGACATTAACCCTCGCCCACTTTTATCTCCTCTGTCACATTCTGCCTGATATTCTGCCTCTGTTCTGTGCGCACACAAACACATGGTGTGACGTTAACGGATGCTAAAGTTCCTCTGATTCAGTGTAATATCAGTCACCAAAGAGCTTAGTCATTCCCCCAATTTTTAGATAGAGGCTGTGGTGGAGACGCACCCTCAGCATCAACTTTAGCACCTGACGTCAGCAGATCAGCTCCCGGCTGAACTGGAGACTGTAAAGACTTTTTTATTCCGTCGTCTGGACTTTGGGCAGCATCACTAATTTCTTGTCGTTTATTTTCAGTTTGGGCTTTTATCTCTCCCCCTCTCTCCCTCTGAAACATCACAAAGCTGTTATTCAGAATGTAGTTTTTGCTTCAGTCGCTCAGTGCTTGTTGACAAAATAATCAGCTGCCAGTGAACCCCTGGTCAGTGGAGTTTTATATGCACAAGATTTGATCCCGTGTGAAACATTTAGGGAGGTGTTGTGAGCAGATTTATTCACTCTGCTTACTCACTTTTTGTTTTGTTTTCCAACCCTATCACCAGCAAAAATGTTAACATTGTACATTTATGCAAAACCATGGATGCGTTCACATTCATAGGTTATTATGTTGCTGATATGTTGAAACATTTCAAGACTATGGTTAAGTTTAGGCACGAAAACCACCTGGTTATGGTCAGGAAACAATCATATTTTGGCTTATGACACCTGGTGCCAAAAAAGCAGTAGGAGAAGTCTACAAAATGTCTTTGTAAAAAACAATTGCATGTCATTGCCCTATCCTGACGTGCAGCAATCTTTGGTTAAAAACAGTCGCTTTTCATGGCACTCTCCCTGCTAGAAAAACAGAGACTGGTCACTAAAAAACACCCTCATTTGTCAAACATAGCTCAGATCTGTGGAGGGAATTCATTTGGAAAACTATTTAAGGTTCTTTATAACTCCCAGAATTAAAAAACCACAAAGAAACAAACCTGGACATAGTCAGTGCTGGAGAGTGTGCTGTAACGTACAACCCATCCTCACTGTGACCTCGTCACATGTCCACGTTTGGTCATGGACTTTCCACGTCCACATATGACGTCCAAGGTACCCTGGGTGTGTTGGTTCTGGGACGCCGTGTCAACTTCAGCCTGTTACATGCATTGTCTGTTTTCAAAATACACTTCTGTTTTCACAGGAAATGTACAGATTGCATACAGTCTCTTTCAAAATAAAAGCACTATGTCGGTACAACACCGAGAATTGATGTGTTTTTCCTTCAACAACACACACAAGGTTAGGTTGTAGTACAGGTACAGGGTTTGGCTTTACAATCTTAGGGGAAGCAAACGTTGGTCTCCTGGGTGAAAGTCTGTGGTAGTTGTAAAGAGTAAAGGGTCTCCAACAACCGCTGAATGGATAGAAATGGTTCGGAAATTTATGTCATAGAACAATTTACTTTTTCTCTGAGACAGGCCGGGTTTTATTGTTTGTTGGTCTGCAGCTTGGCAGGGTCTCACCTAGGTGACACGCCATCCACCGTCCTTCCATCAAAGTCGGCTCATATACTACCTCTCCCTATTCAACATGGATACGATACATTTGAAACATACAAATGTGATCTTTTCATAGTTTGCAGAAAAGTACAATGCCAACATTTTCTCCTGGTGTGTGCACTGTTATTTGTCGTCTCATAGTGTCAGCTCACCAGGAACAGTTTGACACTGTAATGGAGGTTGGCGAGGAAACATTTTGATAGCAGGAGAACAAACACTAGCTATACATTTTAAATATTACATTGAAAGACTTATTGAGAACCACTGATTTGGATTGTTTTGGTGGTAATTTTGAACCTTTCTGAACTCTCTGCCCTTTTTCTGCTGGACAGACACTAAACAGATATATGAACGCAAAACTTTTGTCTTCACCCTAATTTTCCTTAGTTGAACTAAGACTGCTTCCATGCACACAGAAGACGTTTTTCCTCTCACATTTTATGGACAAATTTGTTAAAGCCTGTGTCAGTGAGCTCTTCTCCTTCTCCAAAACACGTGGTCTGCAGTTGTGAGGCCGGTCGGATGTACTGCCAAATTAACCGACACAAAGTGAATATTCAGTTCACGAGCAACAGCTCTGGGGCTCATTCCAGCGATCAGCATGCCAGTGGCACGCTCCCTCAAAACTGAGGACATCTGTGGCACTGTGGTGTGTGACAAAACAAGAGAGGCTTTTTATCATGATGTTCCCGAGGCACACCTAATGATGCTGTTTAATTAGCATCTTGATGTGTCACACCCGTCAGGTGGATGTGTTATTTTAGTATCACTAACACAGATGTTAACAAATTTGAGACCAAAATTTGAGAAAAATAAATCTCTTATCTTTTGCTGAGTGTACAGACAGTTACATTCATAATATAAGCTGATTGGCTTTGAGCTGCTCATTCACCAAACATTTTCACTGCTGCACCGTTCACGAAAACAGCAATATTATGGTATTTAAGGAAGAGACTCCATCTGTGTTTCATCTGGTGTGTGTGTGTGTGTGTGTGTGTGGTACACAGCCAGCTCCTGCGCACTAGCTGTGTGATGATGTTTTTTTTCCCGACATTACAATATGCCGATCTGATTAATAACCACAAAGCTACCATACAGTGTGAACTATAACTCACTGTCAGTGTCAGGATCTTGTCTGGTCAGTCAGTGGCTGAGGATCTGAACAGCAGCCTCGCTCATTAAATATATGACCTCTGTGCTCCTTCGAAGGTTCAAAAAAGTGTAGTATTTTTTATGACGTTAGCAGGAGCTATCTTTATATGTTGTGTTATTACTGGGTTTTTCTCTGCAGCGTGACCGACTGCTCCTCTGGGGACAAATAAAGTTTGACTTGACTTATTTCAGGCGAGACTGCACTCTGTGGGAAATCCTGCAGCAGAGTCATACATGATGATTTTTTTGGTATCATGACACAGTGACCATACGGAAATAAATAAATAAACTGACAAATTAAATTAACATTTAAAGGATTATAGTATTCGTATTTATCGTACAGTAGATGATCAGTTTTTTTAAAGTAGATGGTGATGTCCAGTCTCGACTAACTTAGACGAGTGTAAACAACATTAATGCAGCAGCATCTCATGTGCAAAGTGGCATGATGACATATGTAAGGATTTTACTCTTTAACAACTTTCACCATTGAAATTATTATTAATAATAAATAATCAAACAGCAGTTACTTTCTTAAAACATCAGCTTCTCATTTGAGCCCAGATTTAATGGACAGCTGCTGACACGTTTCACCTGCACATCATCCAAATTATTGACGCCCTGAGAGGCAAGGTGGAAACAACAACAGCAACAACAACAACAACAACAACAAAAACAGCTGAGGAAACCTTGGCGAGCAAAGCAACCTGGTCTCACTCCAAAGTCATTAAAATCACGCGCTTGGTCAGTGATTTCCAGCATCAGACACCAATGAAAAAAAGCTGTCCTTTGTGTGTGTTGGCTAAATGTAACTGTGTGTCTGTGTGTGTGTGTGTTGGCAAAACATAACCACGTGTGTGTGTTGGCTAAACGTAACCACGTGTGTGTGTTGGCTAAACGTAACCACGTGTGTGTATCAGCTAAACGTAACCACGTGTGTGTGTCAGCTAAACGTAACCACGTGTGTGTGTCGGCTAAACGTAACCACGTGTGTGTCTCGGCTAAACGTAACCGTGTGTGTGTCGGCTAAACGTAACCATGTGTTTGTGTTGGCTAAACGTAACCATGTGTGTGTGTGTTGGCTAAACGTAACCACGTGTGTGTGTCGGCTAAACATTACCACGTGTGTGTGTAGGCTAAACGTAACCACGTGTGTGTAGGCTAAACGTAACCACGTGTGTGTGTGTCGGCTAAACGTAACCACGTGTGTGTGTTGGCTAAATGTAACCACGTGTGTGTGTGTGTAGGCTAAACGTAACCACGTGTGTGTGTTGGCTTAACGTAACCACGTGTGTGTGTGTGTCGGCTAAACGTAACCATGTGTGTGTGTTGGCTGAACGTAACCACGTGTGTGTGTCGGCTAAACGTAACCACGTGTGTGTGTTGGCTAAACGTAACCACATGTGTGTGTCGGCTAAATGTAACCACATGTGTGTGTTGGCTAAACGTAACCACGTGTGTGTGTTGGCTAAACGTAACCACGTGTGTGTGTTGGCTAAACGTAACCACGTGTGTGTGTTGGCTAAACGTAACCACGTGTGTGTGTTGGCTAAACGTAACCACGTGTGTGTGTTGGCTAAACGTAACCACGTGTGTGTGTTGGCTAAACGTAACCACGTGTGTGTGTTGGCTAAACGTAACCACGTGTGTGTGTTGGCTAAACGTAACCACGTGTGTGTGTTGGCTAAACGTAACCACGTGTGTGTGTTGGCTAAACGTAACCACGTGTGTGTGTTGGCTAAACGTAACCACGTGTGTGTGTTGGCTAAACGTAACCACGTGTGTGTGTTGGCTAAACGTAACCACGTGTGTGTGTTGGCTAAACGTAACCACGTGTGTGTGTTGGCTAAACGTAACCACGTGTGTGTGTTGGCTAAACGTAACCACGTGTGTGTGTTGGCTAAACGTAACCACGTGTGTGTGTTGGCTAAACGTAACCACGTGTGTGTGTTGGCTAAACGTAACCACGTGTGTGTGTTGGCTAAACGTAACCACGTGTGTGTGTTGGCTAAACGTAACCACGTGTGTGTGTTGGCTAAACGTAACCACGTGTGTGTGTTGGCTAAACGTAACCACGTGTGTGTGTTGGCTAAACGTAACCACGTGTGTGTGTTGGCTAAACGTAACCACGTGTGTGTGTTGGCTAAACGTAACCACGTGTGTGTGTCGGCTAAACGTAACCACGTGTGTGTGTTGGCTTAACGTAACCACGTGTGTGTGTCGGCTAAACGTAACCACATGTGTGTGTGTCGGCTAAACGTAAC